TTTCATTTTCCTTCTCCCTTCCTTTCTCCCATTACTTCATCTCTATCTTCATCTTCTCCTTTTGCTTCGTTTCTTTTATTAATACTTTTTTTGATACTACTACTGTTATTTTTTGTTTATTGCTGTTTCACATATTTCCCTGCCTCTTTTTTATTTCTTCCTTACGATTTGCCTCATATCCTTACTGTTGTTGAAGTTATTATTCTAACTGTACGAAGTATTAAAACTATACCCGTCATCTCATATCACATTATTTCAAACTTTGAATCTTTCTTCCTTCTGTTCTATTTCTTTCTTTTGATTCATCTCCATCATTTTTTCCTTCTTCTCTTTCTCGTTCATCTTCTACTTCACTTTCCCTTTTCATCGTCATCTCATCATTTGCTCTTCTTTTTCCTTCCCATTCAACATCCTCCTCTTACTCTTCATCTTCCTCCTTTTCCTTATTTCTAGCAAATCGGTAAACAACAAAATCCGAAAGATAATACACAGTAACCGGCGCCGGGTAAACAAACAAGATGGCGGTCGAAGATTTCCATGTTATCGTAATCCAACCTAAGCGACCGCCAGGCTTCCTTTAGGAGATACTCGAGATGGGCCTCTGCGATACGGTGGCCGCAGGTAAGAGCTCTTTCGCCAAACAAGGTGGGCGGGTATGTGTGTGTATGGGTAGGAGGTGGTTGGGTGGGTAAGGGGTAAGGGGGTGGTTGGGTGGGGGTAAGGGTGTGAGGGGGGTGGTTGGGTAGGGGGTAAGGGTGTGAGGGGGTGGGGGTAAGGGTGTGAGGGGGTGGTTGTGTGGGGGGTAAGTGTGTGACGGGGTGGTTGGGTAGGGGGTAAGGGTGTGACGGGGTGGTTGGGTAGGGGGTAAGGGTATGAGGGGGTGAGGGGTAAGGGTGTGAGGAGGTGGTCGGGTAGGGTGTAAGGGGGTGAGGGGTAAGGGTGTGAGGAGGTGGTCGGGTAGGGGGTAAGGGAAGGGGGTGAGGGGTAAGGGTGTGAGGGGGTGGTTGGGTAGGGGGTAAGGGTGTGAGGGGGTGGTTGGATAGGGGGTAGGGGTTAGGGGTATAAAGGGAGGCATGTATGGGTGGGTAAAGGTATGAGGGGGTGGTTGGGTGAGGGGAAGGGGCGTGAGGGGGGTGTAGGGGTAGGGGCATGAGGAGGTGGGGATGATGGGTGGAGGGTAGGGGTATGAGGGGTGGAGTCGGGGGAGGGACGGGGGGGGGGGGGCTGTAAAAAGGCCTATTCTGAAGTCTGAGATAACAGGGAGGAGGAAAAGGAGGGAGGGAGGGAGATTTGGGAAAGGAAGAAAGGGATGATAAAGAGAGAGGGGCAAAAATAGCCAGACGGGAAGGAGTGAGAGTGAGGCAAGAAAAGACAGGAAGACGGAAGACAGTAATTAGAAGGAAAGGAAGGAATGAAGCGAGAAAGGAAACATTAGAATTAAGTAAGAGGATGGAATAATGAGAAACTGAGAGGATAAAAAAATGGAAGAAATAAAAAACGAGAGAGAGAGAGAGAGACAGACAGAGAGAGAGGGAGAGAGACAGAGAGAGAGAGAGAGAGAGAGAGAGAGAGAGAGAGAGAGAGAGAGAGAGAGAGAGAGAGAGAAAGAAAGGGAGAGAGAGAGAGAGAGGCAAACAGACAGAAAGAGGAAGAGAAGCATCAAAGGGAGAAATGGGGGAGTATACGGAGAGTAGGAAGTAAAGGGAACATGTCGGTGCCGTATGTGCATGAAATGGAAATGGTGCCATAAAGTGGAAAAAGTGAAAGGCATGATTTAGGCGGATCTGTCGGCTATGTACATGTGTGATTGTTCTCCATTGAGGGAGTGCTATCATTGGCTCTAAAAAAAAAAGAAAGTAAATAGAAAAAAAGAAGAAAAAAAACGTATTCCATAAAAAAGCGAAAATTTTGGGGAATATTTTAACCAGAGAGGAAGTCTCAGGTAAAGAGATTAAGATTCTAAAAAAAAAGAAAAAAAAAAAAAAAAAAAAAAAGAAAGAAAAAAAAAAAAAACTATATAGGATTAAGAAGTAAACATACCTAGGATACACACAAAAAAATCCTCAACCTTCCTCGAGCATCTTCTATCCTTCGCTGACCCGGAAAGAGAGTATATTTATGTCTAAGATCAGTTGAGCGGAAGAGAAAGCTCAGCGATCTAACCAATGCAGCTCAGCAGGTCGTCGGCGCAGAGAATGCTGACCGCGCGCAAATATGAAAGACGGCGCTGGCCCTGCTCATCCTTCTCCTCTTTCGCCTTTTTGCTTCTTTTTTTCCCCCTTCTCTTCTTCCTTTTCTTCGTCGTTTTCTTCACTTTTTAAATTTTCTCATCTTAGGTTTTCTTTTTCTTTTCTTTTCTCATTTTTCTCTCTTGTCATCACTATCATTAATAATCCGTTTCTCTTCACAATTCATTTTCATTTTTTTTATATAAATATTTATCCTCCTCTTCTTCTTTCTCTTCTTCTTCCTCCTCTTCTTCTTTCTCTTCTTCTTCCTCCTCTTCTTCCTCCTCTTTCTGATATTCTTTCCCTTCTTCCTCCTCCTTCTCTTGTCCCCTCCCTTTCCGACCACAAAGATTCCTTGGGCTTCTGTGAAAGGATCGCAGTCACCACAGTCTTACCATCCTTCCTATCCCTCCCTCCCTCCCTCCTTCCCATCTTCCCATCCTCCCTCTCTCCCTACTTCTCTTATTCCTTCCTTCCTTCCCTTCCATTCCATCCCTGCCCTGCTCCGCTAGCATCACCCCCTTCCCCTATCCTCTTTCTACCTCTCTTTCCCTCTACCTCTCCCCTTTTCTCCAACTCCTCTCTTTTACCTCCCTCTCTCTTCCTTCCTTCTTCCCTCCAACTCCTCCCCTCTCCTCCTTCCCCTCAATTCCTCTCCTTTCCCTATCCTCTCTCTTCCTTTACTCCTCCCCCAACCACTTTTGAGGGAAGGGGGGGGGGGGGCGCCACCACCGGCCACGAGTCACCCATACGGAATTATTTATAAAATAGGCCGTCTGCTTCAATGGAGATTGGAGGGGGGGGGGGGGAGTCGGGTCTCGTAATATCTATATCAGTTTCTATTTTTATATCTATAGCTACATATCCTTATTTGTTTATATATATTTATATCTGTCTTTGCATATGTACCGTATATCTACGTATATCTATGTTTATATATGTCTACTTGTCTGTGTACATCTATATTTATAGGTCTATACTTGTATTTATACTAATACACACCTACACACTCAAACACACATACACATATATGTTTGTATATATGTATATATTGTATATATGAATTTATTTCTTTATTCAGTAAATGATAATACGGTAACCATTAAAAGAGAGAGAGAGAGAGAGAGAGAGAGAGAGAGAGAGAGAGAGAGAGAGAGAGAGAAAGAAAGAAAGAGAAAACAGATCGAATAGGTAGGGAGATGGTTTAGAGATAATGTGATTTTGTTTAACAGTTTACATGTGTTTTGATTGTTTTATGCCCTAATCCTCAAAAAAGTGAATAAATAAATAAAAGAATAAATAAAAAGATAAACCTTTCCTTTATCACACTATTACCTTTTCTCCCCTCTGTTAGCGCTAAATTTATTTTGATTAAATAAAGAAAATAAAAAACCAATGAGAAAATACTTTCGCCTTTTTTTTTTTTTTTTTTTTTTTACCTAACTGGTATTTTCATTCATTCTCTTTGGCTATATCTTTCAACAATGTTCTTTTTTTATTTATCTGAATCCTTTTCTCCTTTGTTACCATATTTCTGTACAAAAGAAGCAGATCTGAAAATTTAGATATCAGTTTCGTTAATCAATTATTGACTATAGTATGCCTGTACGTATATGGGTACGCATATGTATGTCTATTTAAATATATGTTCGTACACACACACACACACACACACACACACACACACACACACACACACACACACACACACACACACACACACACACACACACACACATATATATATATATATATATATATATATATATATATATATATATATATATATTTGTGTGTATGTTTGGAGGAGGAAGAAGTGGATGGATTTATATGTACACACACACACACACACACACACACACACACACACACACACACACACACACACACACACACACACACACACACACACACACACACACATATATATATATTTATATATCTATATATCCGTCCACCTATCTATTAGCCAATCTGTCTGTCTATCTATCAATCTTTCTATTTTTCTCTCTCTCTCTCTCTATCTATCTATCTATCTATCTATCTATCTATCTATCTATATATATATATATATATATATATATATATATATATATATATATATATATATAATGTATATACACACATATATATACGTGTGTGTGTGTGTGTCTGCATATTCTTAATGTCTTATGTGTTAATAAAAAACAACTTTAATATAAGCTAATCTATTATGCCGTCAAAAAAAGAATCGGATGTACAGCTGACGTTTGTTCTTCCTAGAAAACGAAAATTTGAGAATCAGAAATTCAGTCATCACTCTGACAGCTGTTGAAGCATCACCGGAGCTTCAGTTCCAACTGTCAGTCACTGAGACAGGCTGCCAGGTTGATATTTGCCTTCCCAGGGTCATCCGTGGGCGTGCGTTCGTTTGTGTGTGTGTGGGTGGATATGTGTGTGTTTGTGTGTGTGTGCTTGTGAGCGGCGTTCGTGTGTGGTGGTTGGGAGGGGGCGTTTGTGTGTGTGTGTTTGTGTGTATTTGGTTAAGTGGTTGGGTGTTCGTGTGTATGAGTATGTGTTTGTGCCTGCTTGTATACACGCGTATGTCTGACGTGTATATTTAACCTACTTTCATATCATGAGACTCTATATCAACTCAACACACACAAAAAAAATCCAAAATATACAAGACCACGAACACAAATACACAAAACCCCCTTCAGAAAAATAGAAGATAGATTCTCAAACTGAGTTACTGATTCCATTTTCTTCTCCCCTCTCCCCTCTTGGCAGACGTCCCCGACCCCCCCGGCCGCCCACTGATCCTTGGCTTCACCGCCCGCTCCGTCAACCTCTCCTGGACGCCCTCACAGGACACCCACAACTCGCCCATTTCGCACTACATCATCCACATCAGGTGAGTGTTCATTTCCGGAAGTTATAGTGTTCTTGTTCATTCATTAGTTCTATTTATTACTTTTGGGTGTATCTGTTATAATTAATTCAGTTTGTGTTCCGTCCGGCCGTCCGTTCGCACGTTTTGCTTATAATTTACGCCTGAAATCATATTTCATGTTATTGCGGACTTGAGGTTTCTTCATTTTTTATGTGATATGGACATCTGCCTGAAACCATATTCCATGTGACTGCGGATTTGAGGTGCCTTTTTGATGTGAGATGAACACCTCATGTCTTGAAGATATATCTCATGTGACTGCGGATTTGAAGTGCCTCTTTGATGTGAGGTGGACATCTCATGTCTCTGACTAAGGACTGGAAGTTAGTTCATTTTGGTGTAAAATGGGGTGCTAATAGACAGTATAAATATTAAAGAATGATGCCCGGGCGCATCATATTTTGAGTCTATATCAATTTTGTTTTAACTTCAGTATGATCATTAGTGCTATTATTTTTATTAGTGTTGTTGCTGTTAGTATTATCAATGAGAAGGGGCTTAGAAAAAAACGAGATAGGAATGGAAAAGGGGGAACGGAGGGAAGGGTAATTGGAAAGGGAGAGGGAAGGAAGGAAAGGGGCTCAGAGAAATAAAGGAGGTTGGAAAAGGGAGAGATGAGGATAAGGAAAGGAAGGCTGTGAGGAATGATGAGAAGGGAAGTGGGAGGGAGCAGATGTAAGGCTTAAAATGAGAGAAAAGTGGAATTTAGGAGAATTTAGGAGTGGGATGGTGTGGTACGGCGGGGATGGGGAGGCTCCTGCTTGCATGTAAATACACACACACACACACTATATTTACATGTGTGTTTGTGCAAATATATATGTGTGTGTGTGGGTGCGTGCGTGCGTACACATACACACAGATATATAGATGTGTATATGTATATGTACATATCTATATGTGTGTGTTGTACTTGTATATTATATATATATATATATATATATATATATATATATATATATATATATATATATATATATATATATGTATATATATATATATTATACATACGTACATGCACACACACAAACATATACGCACATGAACAGTGTGTGTGAATCTACAAATGTGTCTGTGTATATTCCCACCCGCCTTTCTTCCTCCTGTTCTTACCTCGCTTATTCTTCCTCCATCTCTGACCCCGCCCCCCATGCGTCTTGTTCGTGCAAAGTCTCCGGCCAAATTTACGAGCCTTTGCATTAACAAACACAAATTACTCAATGAAACAAAACTCGGGAGTTGGGGATGCAATTTGCAGCATAATTTAAGCTTAAGCTGAAATAACAGTTATTCTAAATTACACCAAAACGGCCAATTTCTCGAAAACTTTGCGGCCAAAACTTTGCCTTAGAAAACAAAGTTAACCGTAAACTTTCCTCTCTTTTCCCCCCATCAGGCTGTTTATCAGGTTTGGAGAGTATAAGCTATGTAAAGTGCGAATTTTTTTTCTTTTTTGTTGTTGGTTGGGGAGAGGAGGAGGGGGAGGGGGAGTTTTAGCTTGTATGTTTTAACTTACTTCCATTAAGTTAATATCTGTTGTTTTCTTTTTCTTTCTCTATCCATCATGTATGTAAATTAGTAGTTATAGGTATATACATACAGATCGAGAGGTCGATGGAATTAATGGGATAAAGTTGAATAATTTCTATCTCTTTCTCTCATCTTTCTATTCACTTGAAGTTGACTCTTTCATTTCTTTTCTTTTTCTTCTATTATTATTAAAGTGAGAGGGAAATGAAACTGGAATGAAATGTGAGTATCGAATATATATTTGATTTTGAAATATCAAGTTCATTCCATCATTTCTTCATTTATATTTTTCATAATTTCAATATTTGTATTCACTTATTTGTTCCTCTTTTTTCATTACAAATTTGTCCCATTGTGTATCAGGGCACAATTAAATGCTGGTATTGAAAAAGAAAATATATATTATGTCTTCACCCGCTGAATCTTCTGTAGAAAAAAGAAATTATTCCATACGGAATTTCGAAATGCAAATTTTGGATTTGGGTGGCCAGGCCAAAAGCAGTTTTCACCCATTGTGGGAAATAATAGAAGATATCTTCCTTGCGTATATGCTCCTTCCTGTGTGTATTCCGTATGTGTTTTTTTTTTTCAATGCAGTGGTTAATGTTGAAAAATAAAAATTACCGGTTTATTTACTGAAAACTTATGATGACGATATTAGAAAATACAATCAGTGATTAGATAGTTGGTGATGAAGATCTCAACAACAGCAGCAGAGATATGTTAATCAAAATAATATGATAAGTAAATAAAAAAAATAAAAGGAACAAGAAGAAAATAAATGAAAAATCGGGATCGTGTTCCCAATATCATTTTTTATTATATTATTATGATAAATACATTTAGAGGCAAATTTATCGCAATGGCCTCTGCAACTCACTTTTCTGTCGTTATCATGGCAAGTCACATTTTTTATTTTTATTTTTTCGTGCGAACATGCCTTGCTTTGTTTCAATAGTTGTTTACGTGGCGCTGTGTATTCGTCACTTCTGTTATTGAACACAGTCGATTTCCATATATATAGAAAAAAACAGTACATACACAATATTTTATTTTTCGTTCTTTATTTTCCCAAAGCGCATCAAAGCAAGATAAATATTGTCTCAAAAATTGCTCCGGGCCCCGACGTCCAATTTTCAGTTCACTTGTTTTCCCAAAGATCAAAGCAGGCGATGCTCATATTGGAATTCAATTGAATTTTGGCCTTTAGCAGAAGGAGCTATGCAAAAGGGGGGCCTAGGGGGTAAGGCCAGGGGAGGGGGGGCTCGTTTGCCGTCTGGTATTGTAGACGGTTGTCTTTTGCACTGCTGGTTGGGTGGTTTGTCGGCTAGTTCGCTGGTTGGGTGGTTAGAAGGTTGGGCACTTAGTTGGCTCGTTGGTTATGTTGGTGAGTGGATGTTATAAGTAGTTTGGTAGATGGTTGGGTGGTTTGGTAGTTGGTTGTCCGGTGGGTTAGGTAGCTGGTTGGCTGTTTAATTGGATGGTCGGTCCTTTTACCCGAATTCAGCAACCAGTCTCCTGGTCCAGCCTCGCTTAACCGGAGCCCAGTACAGAAGGGTAGAAAGAAGGAGACGGATGATCTGGATGAGCGAACAGCCCAGCCCCGTCTCAGGCCCCCCCCACACTCCCACACTACCTCCCCCCCTACTCCACACCACCGTCCCCCACACCCCCACACCCCCTTTTTGTATTGGTCCAAGATCAAAAAGCCTGCGAGCGAAAAGTGCGCAACACAAGCCCGGCATTGTCCAAATAATAAAAAAAAAGTCCCTTGCCTTGACTTTGGAGTCTGACAATATCGAGGGTCCGATATTAAAGTCTGGCTGGAATAACGCTTCTGTAGCGGGTGTGTTCTATTGAATATACAGGGAGACAGGTAGGGAGAAAGGGAGGTGTAGATCGATAGATAAACGGGATTGTAGGCCGGTAAGGTATCGATAGATAAACTACGTTATAGATGGGTAATAGATTAATGGGACTGTAGACTGCTAATAGACGGGATTATAGGCTGGTAATAGATCGATAGATAAATGGAATTGTAGATCAGTAATTAATAGAGAAACAGGTGTATAGGTTGGTAATAGTCTCTCTCTCTCTCTCACACACACACACACACACACACACACACACACACACACACACACACACACACACACACACACACACACACAGAAAACAAGCAAACAAACAAACAGATATATCATCCTCCCAAGAGACAATAACCAAGGTAAGGAAGTGAGAGATAGGGTGGCTCGTAGGGTGATACCACTTGGTAACACTTGCAGTATCTGTGATAGAACTGTCGGAAGAACACTAATGGTTTCGTTGCTTGTCGGGAAGCGAGGCGGCCGAGCATGTGTTATATTGAGATTGCTAGCCCTGTTAGATATTGGCTGAAAGGAAATGATAAGGGTATTGTTCGATTTTGCTGTTGGTCTGTTTATTTTATTTCTGATTGGTTTGTTTATATATATATATATATATATATATATATATATATATATATATATATATATATATAATTTAGGGGGGGGGGCGTTGTTTAATTATGGGAAATTGGATGATTTGGGTGTTTATTTGGATCTAAAGTTTTAGGTATTCATGAAGAGTGATGTAGCCTTTTTTATTTTATTTATTTCTAATCGTTCAGTTTTCTTAATGCTACTATAGAAAATGGAATGGGTTTGTGGATCAGCTACAAAATTTGTAATACAAAATCTGTATACAGCGCATCTAGAAATTTGTTTTTTTTTCTCTTCCTTTGCCTTCATTTTTTCTTCTCCCTTTTCTTCTCCGTCTTCTTTTACTCCTATTATTCTTCCTCTTCCTCCTTCCTCTTCGTCCTACCCTCCTCCTCTACCCTCTTCTCCTCTTCCTTTTTTTTCCTCCTCCTTCTTCTCCGTCCTCCTTTTTCTGGTTTATAGTTTAAAGAAAAATATTAGTAGTTTTTAATATCAGGAGTAATTATGAAAGTCCTCGCGACGGAGTATCAAGTTTGTAATAACATCCAGCGTTGAAATTTCCAAAGTTACGAAGAGGAGAGGAACTGTTTTCTATCTGCATTCATTATTATTATTATTTGTGTTCCATTTTTTTTTTCCTTTTCTTTTTTTTCTTGTCTTTGTCTCTAGCTGGCGGTGCGTCATTTCTGTGTTTGTTGTGTTTGTTTTATTATTCTGTTTCGGTTGTTCGTTATTACTTTTATAATTTGTAATGAACATGGTGATGGTGTTGCTACTACTACTACTACAAATAATAATTGTAAATAATGATAATAGTGATAGTGATAATAAAAGTAACAATAGTTACAACGATAGTGATGTTATTTAATTATTTTTTGTCATCATTATTCTCATTATATTATATTATCACCATAATCATCATCATAATATATATATTTTTTAACATTATTGCAGCAATAGATGGTATTC